GGCATCCAGTGCAGTGATGGTGCAGGCTGGGGAGATCACCTGGCTCCAGTCTCCTGCTCCAAGTAGGGGTGCCTTCAGCTGATGAGGTTCTCATTGCTTGGCCCATTGGGTTTGGAGTATTTTAAGCTGCCTTGGGATTTCCTCATCTAAGAAAAAAATCTAGCAAATGGATTTCATTGTAATCCCTCACTTTCATCATGTTAGTAAGATTGCAAAAATCTCAATCTTAAGATCTGCAGATAAAGATGCTGCTCCTCCCCCTGAAGAATGCCTTCAGCTCCTCAGCAGAGCCACCCAGGTGTTCAGAGAGGAATATATACTGAAACAGGACCTGGCAAAAGAGGAAATTCAGCAAAGGTAATGCAAAACTCTTCATAAAAATGCACTGGCCAATGTCTCTGTGACACAGCAGCACTAAGTCCTGAGCACCCACCCTCCTCTGTGGGTCTAATCCTGGTGAATGAGTTTTACATTTTACTAAATGTAAAACTCATGATGAATACCAGAACTTAAAACTGAGTTATCAGAAAAAGCAGGGGTGAATTTAGTAGTTGATGTCTGTAGTGGCTCATAGGGGAAGAAAAAAATGGTACACACACACATGAAATACTTTCCTCATGGTGTTGTCTGCCTGTCTGGGCCTGTGGGTGGCAGGAAATCTGACCTCAGCACTAATCCTGACAAAGGAAAATTGCCTTAGGTCTCTGCTACTTCAAATCATAGTCAGTTATTTACACTATACAGTTAGGACAAAATGGGAGTTTTTTCTCAACCACTGCCGCTTTTTCAGTGTCTTTAGTTCTTCCCACTCCCAGCATTTTCTGTGTGGTGTAAATCCTGATTGACCTGGTTGCAGATGGTTTGATTTTTAATATTTTTTTGTATGTGTTTACTTCAGAGTGAAGCTGCTGTGGGGACAGAAAAAGAAACAACTGGAAGACCTGAATTACTGTCGAGAGGAGAGGTGAGTAGAGCCTGTCTCCTTTATCAATTCAAACCTCAGGAATGAGGGACCTGTGCTGGTGGTTTGGACAAGGCCCTGTGTCAAACAGCTGACAAGTGAAGGCATTCCCAGCCACAATGAAGCCTGTAGGTTTGCTCCCTCCTCCAGATGGCTTCTTCAGCTTCCTTGTCCTGTTTCCACACCCTGGCTTGTCCTGTGTGTCAGCCTGAAGTAAGGATCCCTTTCTCCCTTGCCTTAAGGAAAAGTTTGCGGGAAATGGCCGAGCGGTTGGCTGACAAGTACGAGGAAGCCAAAGAGAAGCAAGAAGACATCATGAACAGGTGAGTGCACACAGGGCTCTGTTTCACCTCACACCACCTGATGTTGAACAGAGTTTTCAGGTGTGGTAGAACAGAGTGGGCAGGAGCTGCTGTACTGGGTTGATACAAGACTGGGCTGCTGAAATTCCCTGTGCTGGGGCTTGGTGTGATTTGTCTGTAGGCCTGAGCCAGCCCCATGCTCAGAAATGTCACCTGAGACCAGTTGGAAGGGGAAGGTGAAGTCCCTGGGACTCGGGAAGCATGGCCAAAGCCAGGCTGAAGGTGTTTGAGCAGAGCTGGGTACCAGGGAAGTTAACTCAGAGACGTTTCTTGCTTTCCAAGGATGAAGAAAGTCCTTCGGAGTTTCCACTCTCAGCTTCCTGTTCTATCTGACACTGAAAAAGATATGAAGAAGGAACTGCAGACAATCCATGACCAGCTGCAGCACCTGAGCAATGCTATCAGACAGGTGAGAGGAGGAATGACCGAGCTGGGAGGTTACTGACAGCTCCTCAGTGCTGACAGACAAGTCCCGCCATAAAGCGATGCTGTACTTGTGTTAATTAGCAGCAGTGTACTGAAGGGGCTTTGGGCCCTTGCTGGAAATACAGACAGAACCTTTGCACACACTATAGGCCCTCAGAGATCTCCCCCTTCCTCCACCTGACAGGGACATTTCTTCTCTTTGTGGGAAATGCAAAAGCAGACTGATTTGAACCCAAAAAGAACCAATTAATTGCAGTACATCACAGCAGTCTGTAATTAACAAGCTTCCACTGTGACAGGCAGGACCAGCACTGACTGGGGCCTTCTCTTTTCTCCTCAACCCCCAGGTGAAAATGAAAAAGGAATACCAACAGAAACAGATGGAGAAGGGGCGAAGCCCCCGCAAACCCAGCATCAGCCTCAGTGCCTACCAGAGCAAGTGCATCCAGGCTGTCCTGAGAGAGGAGTAAGTGCAAGCTGGGCTCCTCCTGAAGAACCTGACTTCAGGTGTCCCAGGTGTCACTTAGGCCGTGCTGCAGGAGGGGCTGGGGGAGAGGGGCTGAAGCACAGGACGTGCAGCTCCTGAGCAGCACTTGAAGCAGATGAATGGAAGGGCTTTTTGCCCCAGGATCCCAGGGCTGTAATCCAGCCTGGGATGACAGGCACTGCTCCCAGTCCCTGCTTCTACCACCTGAAGTGTTTCCCTTCCTGCTTAGCTCTGTGCAGATGGGACCTGCAGCATTTTGACTTGGATTATTTTTTCCTGAAGGGGAGAACACATCCGGGAGATGGTGAAACAGATCAATGACATCAGGAGCCATGTGAACTTCTGATGTGTCCCTGGAGAGGGCTCTGCACCAAGGCTGGATGAGCTTTACCTGTCCCTGGTATTCCCCCTTGTATATTTACCATTTGTATGTTGAACAATACACCTTTTACTTATTATTTTGTAAAGAATTGTGAAATAAAATACTTTTGATATGACTCCTCACCTGCTGTGGTTTTTGTTTTTCTCATGGGAAGGGGATGTGCTGCAGGTGTTTTACATTTGGGGTGTTAGAGGGTAATGCAGCTACCTCAGGAGTGGGGGATTATCCTGGGATAACCTCCCACCCTTGCTCCATCCCAGGGGGAATCTGGTGGGAAGCAGAGGAGAAAGACCAGAGCCATGCACACACACACTTCAGCAGCTTTTTTTAATTTGGAACACTTTCTCCATAAAGGACACACCTTCAGTACAGTTAACAAATGGTTACACTGGAATCCTGGAGACAGCAGAATTCTACACCCACGATTGCACAGGACACCAATGGCTTGGCTCACTGGAATGCAGTATTGACTTCCAAACACTGTTTGCCTTTTGCAAAAGATGGCTCTGGAGTCCTTCTTGCCATGACAAGGCCAATTCAGTCTCTGCTGTAGCCAGACTCTAGTGGACAAGAAGGAATTGTTGTCCCTCCCCCCTGCCCTTGGAAAAGGCGCCATGGTGAAGCTCAGGGGGGACAGGAGTTACTGCACTGCTAAAACGTGGCACAGCAGGGCAGGCGGGGCAGTGCTGGGGAGGGACCGGGTACCAGACATGCTGCAAGAACACTTTGTACAGGTTAAGACTATACAGGTACAGGAATGCAGACAGAACTCCATCTGGGCCCTGCTACAGCCTCCACCAACAGCTCAGCCCCTGTCACAGCTGAGCAGGTGACACTGCCTGAGACAGGAGAACCCACCCCGGCCCCAGCCATGCTCAACAACACCCAGAACTGGAAGGAAGAGCATTTGTTTTCTCATGTTCATGAGCAGCAACACCAGAATCCATCATCCAGTGAGTATCTACACCAAGAGCTTTTCCTACATTTACAGTCTCTTAAATTTGCTCTGCAAATTTGGCACACACTGTCTTGTTTTGCTTTTAAAGGCCCCTTTAAGTCTGAGTTCAGCAGAAGCTCAGCTGCTGCTGCTGAAGCTTTGCTGTCCTTCCCCAGGAGGGACAGCAGTTTGCAGGGAGCACATCTCCCACCACTTCTGTGAACAGCCAGGGTTCCAATTTCAAACGGAATTGTTTAAAAATTTGACATTACAGCAGTTGGTGAAAAAAGGTGACTCATATTCCAACACTAAAACGGTCACAGCTGGTACTGACAGGAGCACAGGTGTTTGGGTGCCTGATGGAACAGGGCGGTGAGAAGGAAAAACAACCATGCAAGAACTGCCTGCCCATCTCCACAGCAAAGTTCCTCCAGGGACTTATGCAGTGCCTGGTTCACAAACGAGCAAGAGCACACAGTGCACACCCCCCAGGCCTGCAGAAACAGCTTCACTGGCCCCAGGGCCACCAAAGAGCCCAAAGCACTTGCCCCACTTGCCCCCTTCCTGCCAGGCCACAGCCATGACCTCACCCTGACACCAGCACACCTGGGGAAAGCTGTGCCCATGAGCCATGAAAACACACCAAGGAAAAGCCACCCAGAGCTGGAGCTCCTGCAGCGCTCTGAGCCAGCACAGCCAGGGGTGTTCAGAGCAGACAGGGCTGCTGAGAACAGGCCAGACACAGGCACCAGGAAGGGATGCTGGAAGGCCAAGAACAGCCCCTTCCCCTGCTCTCTCACACTGGGACCATCCAGAAACACAACCAAAAAATATTTTACAGTGAAAGACTTCAAGGTGCAGTTCCTCAAGTGCTCAGCTTGCTGAAGAGGGTACAGGATGTGGTGTAGCTTTGCCATAGAAGAGGCTTCCTTACACCTCCTGCACAGGTGAAGTAGGCACCAGTTACAGGAACTAACCCATAACCAGTTACACATTAGTTTTTGGCAAGGGAAGGTGGGAACAGAGTAAAAAGCTTTCCTTTTTGTTCTGCAGCTCCTACTAAAGGCCTGTAGTTTTGTCTCCAAAGTCTACCCAGCCACTGGAAAATGGAATGAAAACATCTGGTCCTGGATTTATGCATCAGGACCTGGCTGCTGTCACCCACAGTTCAGCAAATAATGAGAAAGGGTAAAAAATCCCTAATCTGGTAATAGCCAAATAAGACTCAAGCCACACTTCAACGTCACCTTTATGTGAAAGTAAGTGTCAGCTCTAGACATGACAGCTCTGCCACCTGTTAGTCATTACTAAGGTGGGAAAAATTAATTTTGGGTGTCAGGATTGTGAAGGGAATTAATTGCTAGGGTGAATAAAATGCTTTAATTCTTGTAATGAGTGGCAGGGAATTGAGCTTTTATGATGCTTTTTTGGCTGTTTTTAAGGCATTCCTCTTCAAAACCACTGGTTCTGACTTTATGCAGTAGCAGGATATACACTGCTAAAAATAGGATCTAAGCACTTAAAATACATAGTCATGTGCATTGCAGTTTGGAGCATTTTCTGTCACTTTTGAAGGTGATGAAGAAAATCATCAGATCTCAGGCCAAGTATGTGAAGGAAAAACAACAAGGAATGGAGGGAAAACTCCAGTTTAGGACAAGTTTAGAAGTTAAGGACAGTGGAATCTGCTCCTTCAGCCTCCTTTTAACTGAGTTGTAAAGTTCAAGGATTGGGTTTGTGCCACCAGGATCATCAACACCTGCAACAGTTCAGGAATCTGTCCAGCTGTGTGCACAGAACTCCAGCAGCACAGGAGGAGGAGGAATGCTCATGTTACCTCTGGACATTTATAGAACAAGAAACCCAAACCTGGCAACTGAGTGATCACAAGAATTTCCTGCCTCTGCTGCCACATTACTCAGTGTAATTTAACTGTGTGGGAGCAGACCCAGGGCACAGCACAGGAGCCACCTCTGAGCTCCAGGACACCAAAGAGCTGCACTGCTCCCTCCAAGCTGCAGCACCACAATCCTGCAGCTCCTGCACATCTGTGCCCTGACCAGGAGGGGCTGGGAGTGATTCCCTGTGTGCTGACACGAGGCTGACCCAGCAGAGGGGTCAGGAACAGCTTCATTCAGCACCTGCCCTCACCTTCCCCAGAGCTCCTGCCTTCACACCTGGTGCTACCCCCAGAGCAGAGCACACCTGCACCACCTCAGGCCAATGTTCAGATGTGCACACAACTTTTACCAGCTTTTTTCTGCTTGGGTTTTTTGGTGTTTTTTTTGGTTTTTTTTCCACAGAGAAGGGATTTCAGGCACTGCTCAGCTTTAGGAGATGAGATACAACTGGTTGTAGCTCCATATTCTAAATTACATTTGTGAAAAGAGATTACAAAACAGTGCATTTCTTGTGCTTTTCTTTCAGTATCTGAATTCAACAGAAAAATGGCAAGGAATTAAATTCTCAGTACAGTGTTCTTTTTTTTTTGGACTAGCATTTACCTGTTCAGGAGATACACAGCTCACTCATATCCACATTTCAGCAGCATTCAGATTCTTCACAGAGCCAATGGTTTTAAAAAAAAAAGTACTGAGTTATGAAATAAGATCAATATCCAGTGTCCTGCTAATAAAGTCATATTTTAATATAAAATATTCATACAGCATACTCTACACCTCATTCTCTCTGCTAGCTGAATACTGTTACTGACTATTCAAACAGAAAAACTTCAACCACTCTGCTCTTCAACGTTTTGGAGGGACAATACAGTTTCCAGCAGCTACTTTGATCACAGTAGTGGGGGAAAGGACAGAGGGAAAGACAGGGGTATATGTTCCAAAACTCTATATTAGGTTACGAAGTCGGCTGAAAGAGGGAAGTTTTTCAGAATGTAAGGACTGATCCCACTCAGTGGAACACGAAACACTGCACTCATTAGTGTTTCCACTAGAAAGTTCTCCTTCCTACACTACAAGTCACTCTTGTGATCTCTTCCTGCCCAGTACGAAACCTTTTTCCCCTCTAGAAACAAAACTTAAGTCATCGCTGCCCTCTGTTGTCTTCTGCTCTCTCGGTTAGAGTTAAATAATAATTAATGTTGCTATAAAGATGAGTTAAAAACCCCAGACGCAGCCTCGGAGCCCATCAGGGTGTCATGTTTCAGGGAGCTGATTAATGTCCGTCAGTTTTGTGTCGTTCAGGATTGCACGGATTCTCTCCAGGGAATCTGCCTGCCGGATCCTCTCCAGCTGCACCTGCAGGGAACCAACACAGGCACCGCAGTCAGCAAAGGGGGAAGAGCTCAGCCCCAGGCCCAAGGGGACCCAACATCATCAGGGCCTGAAGAAATGCAAGGTGTGAAGGAGCACAAGCTTAATTTGGACCCAAGAACTGGAGGAAGTTCAACGAGGCAGTTGTGGTTTTACAATAAAGCCCAAATTTCTGGGGGGCTTCAGCCATCACCAGCACTCTGTGTTTTGTCTCATGTCCAGTCACCAACACTGTACTGGAAATCTGGAGATGTGCAAAGCAAACCTTCCCAGAAAGAGCGTAAAGGAGCAGCCCAACACGTGCTTTGGAACCTCTGGAGATCACAGCCAAAATGCTCTTGGAGCAAACATCCCATTTCCAAGTTCACTCCTTCCTTTGCTGATACCCAGTTTAAGCTATTTCTTATCTGCTGAAAAAGGGCCCAGCAGAACTGTGGTGAAATCATTGCAAAGAGAGCACAAGTGATTTCTCTCTCACACTCAAGCTTCCACACTCTTTGCAATAGGATCTGGGCTTTCAGTTATAAATCCCCAACTAGCATTTAACTGTTTTTTAACCCTTCCTCTGAATTGCTGATAACTAATTTGGCTACTGGACTCTTCACACAAGGAGTAGCTGCCCAGGCTCTCACTGGCAAGGCCAGGGAAGGGAATAAGCCTGCCAAGAAACCACAATCCTCCTCTGATGGTCATCTCACACTGTACAGTGCACATGGCACAAACCATTGCTTAAACTGGAGCACAAACCGATGTGTAGTAACTGCTTAGGGCAGAGAGAAAACACAAAACACAGAGCTACAGTTCTTACTGAGCTCATACTGAAGGTTTACTAAACTACCTGCAAGATGTGGAAGAGTCCACCACACATCTTCAAAGTGGTGGCTGTTTGCTCTAAGAACTGCATAAACCAGTGCCTGCAGGATTTTAAAAAACAAAAAGCGAGGATGAGGAAAAACAAGAAGCAACTTCTCTAGGCAGGACAACTCAGTAATCTCCTTTGTCCTACCAACTCCTCCAGACACAGAGAGGACAGATCTCTACTGTCCATCCAGCTACACTGTGTCTAGTAAACAAATTCCCACATTCTGGTGTTAATTTTCCAAGTAAACCTTAATGCCTGACTCAGAAAATGTGTAGCTTGAATTCTGCTGGATGTCACTGAGGGCCTGGGCTCCAAGGAGATGGGGCAGAAATTCAGCACCTCCTCTGTGAGCAAAGCTGGAACATAAAGGGGGTGCAAACTCTGGAAATACAGACCCTGAAGGTGAGCCCAGCCCACCCTGATTCCCCCAGGACACTGAGAGTCTCTCTGAACACACAAACTGCAGCTGCCACACAGCAGAGAACAGCCTGACAAACCAGGATCAGCCTCAGGGACCCCTGACAAAACCCCTCCCCTCAGCCACCTCTTGGCAGCTCACATCAACCACAGGCTCCACTTGGTGGAGGAAATACAAGGATAACAACAGAGACAATAGCAAGGACAAGACTTTCAGAATATATAAACAGAAAGCAGTAACTGGAACTCAAAGAACCATTTCACATATTCAGATCAAGCAGTACCAGTTCCTTACTTTGTCCTCAAATATTTGCATCTGAATGATTTGCTATGAAAATATCACATTGGAAGCATCAGGAGATGGACAAGGAAAAACACAGGTCTGGAAGAGCTATCATCTTTGGCTCTGTACAGTAACTGAAAATTGGCTGGAACCAAATAATCAGAATAGAATCACAATAGCTACAATAATGTTATCATAGTAGGAATAGCTGATCAGTTTATTACACTAATAAATTCTAAAATAGATCATAAATGCCAATATAAGAAAATTTACAACTGCTATTTCTTATTTTACACACCTCTGGAGAAATAATGAAACTAAAGTAGCCCTTACACATTGATTGGACTCTCTTACCTGAAGTGTCTGAGAAAGCTTTACAAAGTCTCTCTGCACTTGCTCACTGACATCTAATTCAGTCTGCAACCGCTGAGCTTTGTTCTTCTCTTCAAACACCAGCTGCTCAAGGTTGGCCTGAGGAGGAAAAGGTTTTTTTATGCTTGAACTGAATAAAAATCAGCAGCTTGTATAAACTGATTAAAGCATGATACCAGAGGAAAGCAGCACAGTACTCACAGGGCCTTGGTAACAAACTAAACCAGTCTTTCCACACCTCAGTTTTCCAAAGTGCAAAATCAGGGGCTGATACCCATGAACAGGTGCCAATAGATTGGTTAAAGCATGAAAAAACCCAAAGTCCTTTAACAGCACCATGAGCAGGGATCTCAAAATACAAAGGCAGAGTTCTGAGTTTTAGTGAAGTAAGTTCATGGTAAGGGCAGTAATTTGCTGCTGGCAGTGTAACTGTCTCGCTGTGCTGAGCTTTAGTCAGAGAAATTCTGGGGGAAGGAACATAAAAAACCAAAACCACAACAAGACAGGGCAGAGAGTGAGTGCTCAGAACACAGTTAATTCACCTGAGTGCTGAAGTAGATCCCTTTCCTACAGCAACCACAAAAAAACATTTCTTCAAAAGCATCAAAGCATTCAACCCAGGGCTTGGTTATCAGAACCCTCCACAGCAGGAGTTACTGAGCCTTCACCTGGGAGGGCAACCCAGGGATGTTCAGGCCAGCAGCAATTCAGACCCATCACCTTACAAATCCCAGTGAAAACAGGGGTGAGGGTTTAAACCACATCCAGAGGACATTAATGCCCTGACAACCTTCTTACCAACATAAAAAATCTTCTTTTATTAATTCTTAGGTAGTGCCACATTCTCTGACACAGCTGCTCATCACAAAAGATGCAGATAAACTTCACATCCAGACATCATAGCTACCTTTGCTGCAGTCTCCTTCTTCAGCTGTTCTTCTAGAGTGTTCTTTGCCTCCTGCAGACTCTCCAGCTGCTGCAGGTTTTCCTGTGAAGAACTTTCCAACTGTAAAATAATAATATTAAAAAAATTTAACTCAACTTCCTAATATTTCCATCTCCCACAGTCCCTCTATAAGGAAGTCTAAGTATCTTCTTGGGACTCAGAAAAAAATCACTTCTAGGGACAGAGAAAACATCACTTTCTCGCCATGTATTTACTTTTGGAGCTGGAGAGAAATGTCCAAACCTGACATTTAGGTCAGTCTTAGATAGTCTAGTATTAATTAGGAATTAGTTAATCCAATATTTAGGCTACATATTAATAAAACAGATCTTTTTAAGGAACAGAACTATGAATGTGTTCTACTCCTACACTGGCATCAATACAGGAAAGAGAAAAAATAACCTTTATTAAAAAAACCACACAACCAAACCCAAAAAGCCCACAGTGAAAGGGCTTCTTACCTGCTCCTTTTCCACTTTTATTCTTTCTAGTTCAGCTTTTAAACTGGAAATGGAAGCTGAAAAACAAGAATATTAAAACTTAAATGCAAGAAACACAGGAAATTGTTCATACCCTGTTTACTTCTGTTAATATTTAAAGGAGAATTAAGCTTGTGTTACATCTAAAGTACCTCAAAAGCAAACAAATAATTCTACTTTTGTTTTCAGCTGCACAGCTTTGGTGTCTCTGCTTTCAAAAGTGGATAGTTTTTAGAATTCAGGTACAAAATCAAGCCTTTGTGTATCTTAATCATTTCTTATATTCATATTTTGAGACTGTTTAACCCTTCTCACCTATTTCCTCTTTGCAATTCTCTATTTCCAGCTGTAGAGTTTCTTCTATATTTTCTTTCAAATATTGTTCAGCTTGGATCTGCTCTTTCAAGAACAGGATCTCAGCCTTCAGCTTCTCCTCGAGGTGATCTGCTGCTGTCCTCACACTGATGATGTCTTCCCGGTACTTGAGGATCAGCTCACGGAGTTCCTGGATCAAGGATTAGCAGAGATGAGCATTTTCCTGTCCCACACCCCAGCACTGGGGTATCTGCCCAGGGACAAAGCTGTCCCAACATCCCAGACCCTGTTTCCAGCACAGAATTACAGTCACAGTCTGCTTGGCCAGAGGAAATGAAAACATGGCAAGATTCACATCCCCACGGGTTTACGATGCTCCCCCTGCCCTTCAGCCTCACCAAATCTTTTAGGCTTAAAGGAAGGGAGTGGACATGAAAGGGATGATAAGGCTTATCATTATTCAAGGCTTTGGATTATCACTTATCTTAACTGGACAGAAGTGAGAGACTTCACTTGAATTACTGGATCAATACAGTGGGGCCCTGCTGACTGAACTCTTATGTGTCCAGTTGGAAACTGCAGCTTGAACTGGCTGAACTGGGCCAAACCCACACTCCCCTAACCACAGAGCAGCTGTCAGGCCCCTGGTGGCTGAAGCAGCCATGGCACAGGGGGATCACACTGCTGGCTTTGTCCATCACAGACTTACAGGGTTAAAATCCCAATTACTGTTCTTTGTGCTATTTGAGTCAGCTTTTTGATAAATAATAATATGCCAGTGAGATCAAGTCACAAGTACTGTTGGTGTTAATGATTTAAAAATGTTTTACCTCTGCTGCTTCTGGTAGAATGAAATCTTCAGCCTGCTGTAAGGACACATGCAAGCTGTGTTTTCCTCGAAGACTTTCATTATCTTTTTGCAGTCTCACCAACTCTTCTGAAACCTGCTCCCTTGACTGTGTCAGGACAGCCTACAATGCAAAGAAAAGCATAAATTCACACTTAGGGTCATGCTCAGATCTCTTCTGTCCCATTTATTGCCACTGCTTTCAGAAGTCTGGTGAATTGATATACTTTGTAAAGAAGGGAAGCAAAATGATGCTGTGGATCAACACAACCAGTTCCTTCTTGCCTGCCTATGCACCAGAAATAAAGGCAAGGTCAACTTTTAAGTGTCCAGGCAGAGAAGAGGAAGCAAGTGATAAGTACAGCTTTGTTCAGTCTGTCACTTTCCTCTTGTGTTTATCCATTAGCCAGTTGTGCTCATGGAGGGGAAGGAGAGAGGGGAATCACAGGTGCTTTCAGGAGCTGGCAGGGATGTTTATTAACACTATCTCAGCAACCAGGGCCAGAAAAACAGGGCTGGTCATGGATCTCTGGAATTAACCTGCCTTACCATTTGCTCCTGGACACTTCTCTTGGCTTGCAGAAACGCCTGCTGCAGCTCACTGAGGAAATTCTCTGACTTCTGACACTTGGCCATGAGCAAGGAGATCTTAAAAGAAAGAAAACACAGACAGACATGTAAGAAATAAAGCATAGAACAGATTCTGAAAAAGAAATAAGTGCTCTTGCCTGTTATCATTACTAACAGATACTTTGAAACTTCAAACTAAAGCACTGAGGTTTATGTTAATTCTTCACTCAGTGAAGCAGGAAAGCAGCTCCAGGCAGTAAGGACAGATGCTGCATTTCTGCACCAACAATATTTTTATATTCTATTTACTGAACTCTGAATCAACAGTTAATTCTAGTGAAATTTACATGTAATCCACTTCAGAGACACTGAAGGGAAACCAAAGAGCTTTTATCTAAATTTTCAGCATTTTTTGAATTTTTGTACCTTTCTCTGAAAGCACTCACCTTCAAATACTTTGCAAATCATCCCACAACACCACATGTAAGATTAATCATTACTTAATTAACAGCACCCTGGTACAGTCAGAAGAACATATAAACATATTCCTGTTGTCTAAGCTGGACTTTGTCAAGTGACTGTTCCTTTAGTAAGAAAATATACTGGCTGGGATGGAAGAGAAAAAGTTCCAGCCCGAGTGAAGTAAATTCAGTGTCTTGTACACACCATGTACCTACTATTGTAAGCTTTAATAGGCCAAAGGTGATGAGTTTTTTCCTTCTTTTTATTTTTAACTATGACTACCACCCTTTATATTTGGCTTCATTGTTCCAGAAGAATTAGATAGGCATCTCAGACTGAAAAATCTTTCCAGTGGGCTATTATTTTAAAGGAGTTCAGTGCCTATTTTGGCCCTGCTAATGCCTGCTCAGCTCCTCATTACTGCATTCTTCACCACAAGTCCATTAACTGGGTGTCAGGTGTTGATAGGAGCAGGTGGTGGAACAGGACCACTCTTCAAGCAACAAGGCTGTGCCCAGAACACAGGGCTCCATTTGCATGTTCGGGTCATTTCAGACACAGCTCACTCCAAAACTCAAACACTACCCAAACTCCTACTGCCACTCTGTAATGGATTTCACATTTAGAGATGATATTTTAAGGCCAAAATTGGGTAACACAATATTAGGGACACAATAGATTTATCTAGAAACCGTGGCAGACTCAGGTGGAGCGTAACTAACCCTAGAAATTCTCACTTGTGTTGCCTTCACAGCCAGTAGCCCATCCACAGGTAACAAAACACAAGTTCTTGTTACACACATCCTTTCAAAGAAATCAATTTCATCATTCCTGGATCTCAGTTACCAAATCCTTGTACCTGATTAGAGGAGTCTTCAGCACTTTGTTTCATGTAATCCTCCAATTCCTGTTTATCTTTCATTGTCTTTTCCAGCTGATCGTTAGCCTGCCTCAGCATCACCTGCAGCTTTTTCACCTGTGTTGTCACAACAAAATTAATTCATTTTTCATTGTCTTGGGGAGCATTTATTTCCTGAACCCCTTCACTCCTAAAACCACAACCCAAAAATCCCTCCAAAATCCTGTGCAACCCAGAAGTTCCTTTGCTGTTGAAACAGCCTCCAGCACAGATTATCCCTCTAAGGAAACACGGGACATCAAACTGCACCATGGCCATGTAATGACTTCAATCACTTATTTCAAAGCAGAATGTGACTCATGCCTTCCACACCCATCTGAAAATTATTCTTGGGTAGATGGCAGGAAACAAATGTCCTCCAAGACTTGAAAGTCATTTTATGCTGCTAGGATGAAGTCCTTTTCTGTTAACAGATCTTACAGTATCAAAGATAATAGAATTTAATGCATGACAAGCATTTTAAAATATAAATTATTAAAGATAGTGACTTCAGCATGGCCATACTTTTTATAGAACAGTGCCTTTACTTCATGGTCTTACAGCATCAAATAAAGGGGTTCTCCAAGGTGAATCCCTAAGAAATATGTACATGTTGGTGCTCGTGACCACACATGAATAACAAATCAAGTTGTGTCAATAACATGACAAGTTATCCAGTATATTGATAACACTCAATTAAAATCAATGAATAAAACAGCAGATGATTTTTTGCTGCAACCCTTAGTAGTCCAAAAAGCTGCAAAAGCCTGGTTAAAGCAATGAGAGAAATCCCACCTGGTCTCTGGTCTCAGCCTCCTGGATCTGGATACCTTGCAACTGCTTCTCATAATTGGAGCACATGTCACAGCGCCTGCCCAGCTTGTTCCCTGCATTCTGCACCTGCAGAACACAGAGTCAGCACCTGCCATGAGCCCAGGGAAGTCTCCAGGGAAAGCAGGAATGCTGCACACACTCAGGTGTGTTGTATGGCCACAAAACATTGCAGACAAAAGACAGTGGCAGAATCATGTAATGGCAGGATTGAGTTGCTCTAAAAGTGAAGGGTAACTCAAATCAGCTGTGGGATATCAGCTTTTCCTGCCATGGGTCCCACTATTAGCACAAAAGACACAAAGAGTTCATCAAGTCACCACTGTGTTCTTTTGACAAACAGCAGAGAAGAAAATAACAGTGCTGGGGTGGGCAACAGAGAAACCAAGAGTAAACCTGCTGTCATTCTGGAACTGCAATGGTTTTGGCCAAGGGGACAAATGGAAGTTTTATCGGAGTTCCAGCTGCAGGTTGAGCTGAATCTGTATTTGTATTTGCTGCTCATGTCCAACCCACAGCAAGAGGCATTTGCACCCCAGTGTGCGCTCCCGCCTTCAGAACATGTGAGAAGCTGCATTTCTGTTCTGGATTCTGAGACAGAGATGAAGTAAAGTGTCATCAAAATGTCAGCAGAGCAAGGAAACACTCAAGAGTAAGGATTTAACTCAGCTCTGGGCTCAGGATGCTGTAATTTCTCCACATATGGCAAATCAGTAGGAAAACAACAGCAACAACAAAGAAGCAACTTCACAACAGGTTTGGAGAGACCTCCTAAGCAATGATTTGCACTAAGCTGAATTTCAACAAATTGAGGGGAAAAAAAAATAAAAAAAAATCAATAGTTCTTCATTTCATCTGTCTTTCATCTGGCCTTTTCTCCTTCACTAGATTCTTATGGTCTTTTTTTTACTCCCATCTTGTCTCCCTTTTCACCCAGGATGGATTATTATCTCCCCCCACTTTTTCTTCCCCCTACAGTGCTGCTCCTCAGCCTCTCTTCCTCTGAAAGAGAAACCACAGGAAACCCCAAATACTCCCCTTTTCAGCAAGAAACCAAATGCAAGCTTTGAACTGGCATCGTACAAAGCTGCTGAAAAACTGACAGGCAGAACACCCAGAAGCAACAATTTCCTTGGTCATCCACAGTGCAACTGGCCCAGGGCTTAGTCTAGTCTGCTGCTTGCTGCTCTCAGAAATGGGTTTCTGATGATGCAAGTCCCCAGCAGCTTCCTGGAGCCTCTCTGTGGTACTTTGTGCGTTGGGCATAGTTTGGCTGCTCATTCCCAAAGTGCCCCCATGCACAGCCCTGGCACACAGAGCAGCATCCCCAGCTCTGCTGCTCCTCTCTGCCCTCTCCTACTCATCCCCAGCTCCACTATAATGCCCTTTCCTCAACTTCCCATTTGCTCCTGTTCTTTTAAGTTCTCCCACCTCTTTTAAGCCTCTCAGACAATACTGAATTCAAGAGCCACCTCTGCCAGACCCTCCCCAAAATCCAAATCATCTTGTGCTTAGTAAAGCTGCCTGTCCCATGAGCAGGGCCAGCTCATACACCTGACACTGTATGTGTTTTACCTACAGAAGCATTCCAAGAGGGGAAAGTGAGCAGCTGCCCAGGATGTGACCTCTTCCTTTCACAGCTGGCTCTGGGCAGAGCAAAGGAGGCAGAGCTTTGGACTCACCTCCTTCTGCAGCAGGTTCCACTCTGTCTCGCTGACCAGGCGGTACCCGCTGGGGGACACATAAGCACTTTCCACGCCCTGGGTGACACTGGAGAGCAGGGAAGCAGTCTCTTCTTGCTCTGGTGTCATTGCTTTGATTGCTTTTTCCTGATCTTTGGTCAACATGAACCCGCTCGGCATTTGCAGGGATCCAAGGGAAGCCGTATCAAAGTTCTCAGACACTGAATCTGCTCCAACAAGTGGTCCAAAATCTGACTCATCCAGGTTCCCAGCAGATTTTGCTTTGTTGTTGTATCCTAAAGCTTTGGACTGTAAGGATCCAGATGTGCCCAGACTGTCTGTTGACTGTGCTCTCCGTAGTCCATCTTTAAACATATCCGTGTCTGGTTTATTGAAGGATTCGCCAGAGGAAAGAAGCAAGTCTGCATCCAGGGAATGGACTGATCCATGGGTGCTATTCACATGCACCTGGAATTGAAAATCAAGGAATAAAAAAATTACTGACTCCATTTTAGTGGTACAGGAGGAATGCTGGACACTGATTATCAGACATGGCAAAGGCAAGTTTAAACTTCTTTGGCAAAAACATCTGCTCTCTAAGGTCACAGAGGAAGGGACAGAGAACCGGAATTAAGCAGCTAGAATTCAAAAACAAATAAAACAAGTAAAAGAAGTGTTCTGTTAACAGAGTGCTTCTGTAAGACTACTTTCCTGCCAGATAAGCAAAGACACAGATACTTCCATCTTATAATATTTGAGGCAAGATGTGCTTCACCTGAAGAGATGTACTTGCAACATCCCCTCTCCAACCACAATCTATACAACAGAAGGCAGATACTCCACTTCCAAAAGGAAATTCAGAAGTCTTTCATTAAAAAACCCCACTTTGTATTAACATAAAAATAAACAGAGAAAAATATACTTAAAATCTACTCCATACCAACAAGTATATGTTGCTCTTCTATTTTTCTCTTCTGCTTTGAGTGTCTGACAAAATACCAAAATATTTTCTTCACAAGATTATTTGTCCATAAAATAAAAAGAAAAGGGAAAAGGCTGGGCTTAGACACAAACGTATCCTGGGGAATGTCAACACCAAAAGCCACACAAATTGTCCTGTGATATGTATCAGGAACATGGAGCCTCTCGATCTATTTTTGTTTTTTGTAGCACTGAAAAGAGAGCAGTAATGCTTTATTTAAAAAGCACATGACTGCTTTCAAAATACCTTCCAAAATACTATGCACTTCTGCTTTGCCATTAGACACATAAGGAAGTAACACTGGAATCAGCCTCTTGGGAAAAATTATCATTTCTGAAATAGGTCCAGAGACCAGCAGGCTGCTGGCACTTCATGTAAGTGCTTGTAACCTATAATTGGTATATATATCTTCTGTAGTACTGTTTTATGACGGTTGTAAATGCCTTGTTTTAATAACTTTTAGGTGTAATATTTATATTTGCATGTATATATAAAAGTTCATAATAAAAAAGTCAACAGAATACAGACTTACATAAAACTGCATTTTCAGGCTACAGCTGTTCTGTGATAACCAAAACAATATTAACAAATCATCTGTTTGTATTGCAAACTGCCCAAGAGAGAAGATCTTAGAAGTTACAACAAATTATAATAAGTTGTAAGAATTGATGAATAATATGAGTGATTACAACGTATAAAACATATTCTGAACAGCTAAAAAGGTTATAAATAACAAAACCAAACACACAGAGAAATCCAAACCACTCTGAAAATCATGCTCCTTCTCAAAATATAAATTTTCCATTATGTATAAATCTTAGAATCAAATAAATGTTGTGAATGATGGGCTAAAGAATATGCTACGAACTGAGATTAAAAAAACATCAGAAGATAGATTTTTGTTCTGCACCAATGTGCCTCATTTGCATAACTGGATATGGAAGATACAATTTGTATTTGAAACAGAAAGTGACTGTAGGCTAAAGGGCAGAACTAGATCTCAGCTACATTTAGATCTCATGATTCTGAGTATCTTTCTGCATTCTGAACTGTTACACAATTACTTCAGAATACATATATTAAAGTATATACTTTTCTTTCTCTTTCAAAAATTATAAAAGCCCAGGCAAAACACTGGCTCACTTTGAAAATTCTCAAGTCTCTTGAAGGTTAAATAAGTTCCTGTAGCACAAAAACTTGGTGGGTTTTTATTAATTTTTCCTTCATTTGACTCACGAAACCAAAATGGACCCTATAAAATGGTAGGTACAGAATTCAACAATTTGGTTAGCAAAGTAGCTACAACACTCTTGCTGAATGTTCAAATATAATTGGCTTAATCCTGAACATTTAGGTGTGTTAGAATATGCTTAGAAATCCCAAGAGAATCTACCAGCAGTTAACCTCCAGAATGCAAAATGTAAATTACCATTTTTAATGGCACCTCTCAGGATGGTGCAGTATTGTCTTCCAATCTTAATTAGGATTTATAGATTCAACTGCAACTCCGAGGATTTTTTTATTGCCTAATAAGATTAGAAGCTACAGAGAATAGAGGGCTGTAACTTTGCATTTTTATTTGCAATGAACACCCTGAGGAATTCCCAAGTGCAAGTGAAAGATTCTATTGTTTTACCTCTTCATTAGAGAGCTGGGTAAGGGTTTCTTCAGGGGCCAGAGAACATGAAGCCTTTGTTTCATCATCTGAATCTTTTTGTTTCTCTTCCTTTCTCTTGCTAAGCCTTTGCTGCTCATCTTCCTCCTAAAAATCAGTGGTCAATAGAGCATACACAGAAAATAGGATTCAATTTTGCCACAGTAGTCATGACATTAACTTTCATGATAAACTAAGCTACAAAGAAGACACTGAAAAGGATTATTTTGGTTAAAACCCAGTGGTTGTCACACAAATATTCTTTTAGTTAATAAATACAGTGGTCATTTCACAAGGCACCCAAACTGACTTAACTGAGAATTTACTCTACAAGTTTAATGGCTGACTCACATTCTAGAATGATTTTATTCAAAAAGCATTATTACCTAGTTTAAAATTCTAATTATAAAGATTAGCAAGGAACAAAACTAGCTGGTACACTGGCTTATTGTGTAGAATATAAATATATAACACATCTACACCCCTAAAGGACCCATTAACAGCCATTACACAAGCATGAACATCAAAAAAAAAGTGAAACAGGAAGTGCCTTGATCACTAAATGATGGAATATAAGGGAAAAAAGAAAAAAAATATATCACTAAGTCGTAAGTATGTACAATCAATTGCATAAGACAATTTAAAATTAAAGTCTTAATTTATGCCTAGGATATGTACTGAAAGACTGAAAAATCCTAGAAAAAAGTGAAACTTGCTGACATCCTTAACCCAGACATTTTGCACCATAGATGATTATTTCTTCCTCCAAGATTAATTTCTGGATACTCTTACCTTTTCATCTAACTATTGGCAACATTAGAGTTCCTATATACACCAATATTAAAATACTTGTCCAAATGGGTCTGTTTTAACTGCCAGCTGTCATTCAAAGGGGAGATTTCAGTTAAAACTGGCAGTTCTCATTTTTTGAGCTATTACCACACTTGCCTCCAACAACAGGTGATTTCCACACCTGTTACACTACAGTAAACCTACAGTGTTACAAAAAAATAAAAGCAAAAAGATGAAAGCAGCAGGTAACCTGATCCTTTTTTTTCAGCTCTTCCACCTGCCGGAGCTGCTCTGAGGTGAGCACAATTTCCATCCTCTGCATGTCCCTCATCAGCAGTCGCTGGGACTCCAGGAACTGGTCATTGGCTTTCTGCCATGTGTGCTTCAGCTGGTTGTGCTGCTGCCTCTCTTGCTCTAGGAGATGGCAAACTATGCAAACAGAGAAAAAATTCTTCTGAACCACAAGCGTTTAAATATATTTTCCAAAGAGAAGTATTTTCAGGAATAAAAGTAATTGTTGGTCAAATCAAGAACAGTCAGGCTTTGTTCAACAACTATTTAGGTTAATAATGTCTTATTTCAAATACCATTTTCTTAATTTCCAAACTTGGCTGGTGATTAGGGATGTATTACTGACAGTTCAAGACTTCCCAGTGAGAAGATTAATGCCTCAACTTCATTCATGAATTCTAACAGTTTTGGGCTTTTTTTAGTGCTGGGTTCAAAAGATGATGTCTTCTACATCCCTATTTACTTCAGCAGCAGGTTCTGGTTTTCACTCCTCTGCAGTGACCTTGGGCTGTAGTGCTCAACAGGGATTTTCCACACTCCCTCCAGCACTCAGCACTGCCACACCTCAGGGAGCCAGGCCTATACATTATGGAAATAATGCTCAGAATTATGCATAAATACAATACACACCTAAAATCACTTCAGCAAGACTGAAGCTTGCAATGCTTTAAAAACTTAGCAGATATGCAACAAGCCTTGAGAGAATGAATGGTTCTGTTGTTTTTCTGTCATAAGGGAACTCCACATTCAATTCTTCTGCAAATATTTTATGGCCTTTCCCATTTAAAAATGCTGCATCTTCCTCCCAATTTCTTCTAATCAAGTTCAAGTAAGAAATGATAAAAGAATTCACAGCTCCATGGGTTTTGCATGCTCAAGAAGAGAGTCAAAGGACTATTGCTAGGTAGGTACCTTCATGCAGCTCCTTCCTCAACTTCTCTGCATCTTCTTGCAGGACTGATTTTTGTGTGTTGAGAACAGCCACGTACATCTCCAAGTCTGTCCTACACGACTTCTCAGCTTCTAAATAATGGTTCAGTTCTTTAACCTGAATAAAAAGAGGGAAATGGCCAGCTCAGTGGGGGAACACTATCAGACATTTCCTTCTTGTTAGAAGTTATGGTGCTGCCTGTTCAGGTAATGTACATGTGCTGAAGGACTGGTTTATTTGCAGAAATCACAAATATTCAACTACCAGTGTGCAAGTAGTGCTTGTATTTACTTGTGAATGAGTTACTCATTAAAATTCTGTGAAGTTGAACCTATCAGTGCATCACAGTTATAGCAGCTGGATAACAGCAGCAGTGAGCACAGACATGGTAAAAAGGGAAATAACTCAGGAAAGCAGACAGTGATCACTTCACTGTGAAGTAATCAGTGCTGATAGCCAGGATCTAAATAGCTGATAAGTGCTGATAAGCCAAGAACTCCTTAGCTCAAAATAGAGTAATCATAGTAGTCAGGAAAAAAAATATTATGAGGCAAGCTTGAAGTAAGCCTAAGAAGAGAGAAAACTTGGAGACAGACAAGAAACTTTCCAACTCATGAAAGACTGTTGCAAAAAGGAAGGAAAATCTATCAACAAAAAGCAATTATATCAAGAAATACTGAAGAAATATATTTGGATTTTTTTTTTTTTAAATAGCAAAGCTAACAAAGAACTGAAATGAGTGTCCTGCAGAATCTCCAGTGAGAACCTTTTAAGACAGGGTTACATAAACATCTGTCAGACGTGATGCTTGGAAAAATGGATTCCGTCTTGGAACAAGGAACAAACTGAAAGATTTCTTTATGGCACTATTCAGTTTTATGGTTTGCTGAGTCAGAAATCACCAGAGGTTTTATCTCAGAGAAAGCCAAAGCCTTCAGGCAATTCATAACTGGCTGCACAGGGCTGCTGTTCATGTTCCTCAGCACAGCACTTGCTGATGCCAAGCCAGGGCTCAGGACAGCCTTGGGCTGTGACTGCCACTGATGCTGGGGACAGCTTTCCTGCCCTAGGACACCAACCTTCCATCTGCTACCCTTTAAGCCTTTCAAATGGCAAAGTCTGACTTCATGGTTCAAAGTGTGACAATAACCCAGAGGCCAGGTGGTTGGGAGAGGTGCAGAGCAGATATTCTTCTGGAGTTTTTTCTATTACTCGTAGATCTGGAGCTGTGCAATTTATTCCAAACCCAGATCCCACACGCTGCAACTCTCAAAACAGAAAGATGCAAAAATGTATTTAGGCCAAACATGACATTTGAGCTACAGGAGACGAGAAGGGCTTGAAGAGTTTCCCAATACACCTTTTTCTCTCTTATAAAATTTGACTTGTCTGCATCAAACTAGCACACTGCAAGATATAAATCAGGATCCAGTTAGAGCTCCCCCTCACCTCTGATGCTGCTTTTATTTTTTCTTCAGCTTCTGCCAGCTTCTCTTTTAGGGCTGCAATCTCTTTCTCCATGGGCATCACAACCGAGCGCAGCTTCTCGGCATCTTCCTGAGCCTGAAGTTAAGACAATAAATTGTAATGCATCATCAGAACTTCCCCAACAGTTCCCATTACTGGGGACATTTGGAGAAAATCCCTACATCAACAAAAAAAGCTGACTAAACTTCCACTTTCAGTGCTCATCTTACTGCTGTTTATTTAGTTCAGCAGCCATCTCTGTGACAATGGGCTGATATTACTCCATTTACAGAAGACAACTAAATTTTAAGTCTAGGTATGGGTTGAGCCACAAATATCTGTTTTAAAAGAGAATGTTAGCAAATCTATCATTCTTGATGCCTGGAAGAAAATGTATGGCTCAAGCATTTTAAAAAATGTGCACTTTTTTCTTATTAAAGGCCTAACTGTCCCACAACCTGCTGCCATGTAGCACATATGAGAAAACCCAAAAGAAGTGCATGATGAGGTACTGACCATGCACTTACTTACTCAAAAAATTAAAAGCAAATGGAGCTGCACAGTAATGCCTAGTGTAGCTCAGTTCTCTTTTAGAAGATCATTTTTCAACTTTACATTACTACTGATGCAGCATAAGGTTTTGGTGTTATTGTACTGAATATTTCAAACTATATATAGACAATTTATCCCATGATTTCTTTCAAAAAGTAGTTCTGAGAAGATCAAAGAGCAGCAGAATTAAAAGACTGTTTCAAGGAAAGGGAAAAAAAAGGGAAAGACAGGTAAAAATAGCAAGAATTAAAATGAGAAATAGCACTCGGGGTTCAAAATCAGAACTGCACGTTAACATGTGGCCCTGACATCCTCATTGCTTAAATGCTCTCCCTTTCCTTCAGGGATGCACTAGAGACTTTCCAAGTGGAAGCAGCAGCTCCACAGACTCCCCAAGAGCCAGCAGAACACTCAAATACTTGCTGCAGTAGAATTCTTCAAGGCACAGAGAACTCCAGCATTCTAATTTGGGCTGGCTCTGTGCATGAGGCTCAGAGTTGTTCTCTGTCTTCTGCTGGAAGAACTCAGCAGGGGAGGGAGGGCAGGGAACTCTGCCCCAAAGCTGGAGTTTCAAAAAATGACACCTTTCATAACCTCATCAGCAAAGACAGACAGTAAATGGTAACACTCATGTCTGGTTTTAAAACTAGACTAGAATGCAGGTTTTAGAAGTTACTTGTTTGACTTTCAATTTCTGGTGAGCTTATTGACAACTGTATTCTGAGCAAGACTGTCAGGAAGAAAAATAGAAGGTATTTTTAACCACTGAAGTTTTCTAACTTAAAATCAATAGATAAAGTGTTATTCCAAAAGCTGTCAATGATATAAACACTACAATTTTAAAGCTTTACAGAGAATTCTGAACACAGCACAAAATTAAATTTCTTTACATTTCATTTATTTCCGCTACATTTTGTCACTGCTGGAGTACCAATAAAGACCATGAGGAAAGCAAGGGCTGTCACCTGGCAGTGAATTCAACACCAGGGACATGTGACTGTCACACACACCCAGACCCTGGCACTTGCAGCCAGCAACTTAACAGTCACATTTTTCAAACAGATGGGAGCAGGAGTTCCACTCTAGACATCATTGATTCATATTTCATTTATCACATCAGTTCTATTCCTTTATTGCTACCTATAGCTGATTTATATGGACTAAATATAGCCCCACATTCTTTTCTAATTATTCAGGGTAACTGCAGCAATATTTCGCTGCCAGCCTGGCTTCCCATGGCTCACCACAGAATACAGAGCAACAAATGTGCCTGTGTCGGAACCAAGCAGTTCACAGAAACAGTCAGAAAGTTCTCTGAAAGCAAAACCAGACTGTGAAAAGCAACCAACTGGAAAGACAAAACTGTATCACATTCCACACACAGAAAAATTACTCCAGGTTTTACTGCTTGGTAAATAGAGCTGAAGTTTGACACTGTGGTTGCAACATATTGTAAGGATCCCTATTAAAGGTCAGTGTGATCTTGAGCTAAAAGCTCAGAACAACCTCTCTAACAAAAGGAGTGCCAGGCCCTGAGTCTGCTCTTGGACGTAAAGGAGAATTACTGAGACTCCAAAATTGAGGTTAAAGCTCCACTCAACCTTTTAATAAAATGAGAATATTTGTTGTGTTGAAAAATGCTACTTAAAGATACTGCTGCATGTGGCAAATTTCCTGTGCTAAGAGGTGTTATCCACTCGTCCAGAGATGTGACCCTTAAAATGTTTATTTCCTTCTAACTTTTTTTTAAACTTAACTTGGCTGTCAACAGCCACAAGTTTTACATATGATCAGCTCATCTTTACTCATTCCTTAACCAAAAACCAAGCACCCAAACCACTTCTGCCCCAGCCAAACCTGCTTCCCCCAGCACAGGGGCTGCAGAACACACTGAGGGACCTGCAGACCACAGCAGGAAAATAACTCCATGGAGAGATAATGCTAAAAATGAGTCCAAGCCATTTTCAGAGGAACAAACTCCTGACTGGAGAAATCCCAAGTAACATTATACCTGAGCTTGTTCTTTAAAAATGAGACAAGCGGAAAACACATAGACACAACTTGAACATTTCTCTTTAAAGCAGGACTAAACCATTTAAAAGTCCTCTAAATTTATCCCACTGATCTTCACCATTACCAACAAAAATAGCTTACTGTATATCAGATTTTATGGCCAACTCTGTCACAGAAATCTGATTACTCTCCCCTTCCAATTTCCCCTCTCCTGACTAATAAGCAGAAATCCTAACAGGAGCCTTGTGCTTTCCTGCTCTCTCTGTACACAAAATACCTGCTCTGCAGACTTCTGCTACTCAGAGTTTGACACAACTGTGCTAAGCACAGTATGTATATTCATCACAGCTCCAGATCCTTTCCTGAACAGAAAATGAGATCTGACTTAAAAAGGCAAGTCAAATTCTGCCAGTGGCCAAAGTTTGGGCACAAGTCATCCCCATGCAGTTGTTGTCCAGTGACTCTGGACAGTCATTCCCCAGCAGAGAATGTGCAGGGAAGTACATGCTGCTGTGAAAACAAAAAACCTCAAACCTATCTGGTACTACAACCCAACAGGAAAACCGTTTTTTATAAATCACTGGCAAGTTTTCTGAAAGATTAATCACTAGGTGAACGTGTTAATCATTAGGTCAAGTATCCACCTTTTGGAGTTGTGAAGGGAGATTAAGAAGACAAAGTTACAATGTTTGCTTAGAAAATGATTTCTTAGAAATCACTGCTTTATGATATAAAATCACAGAACACACAAATTATCTACAGAAATTAGCAATCTGCAACCTGAAATATATTTATACGGAAAAGCAAAACAGCTGCTTCCAGACGAGCTTGTGTTCCACCAGACATGCTCTTTCTGATGAAAGAACACAAAGATGGAATATAAGCATTACTGTCTGCAAATGCCATTTTGCATGAGGAATTGATCACAAGTCTTCAAATAACACATCTCAAGTGACCAAGAAAGTTCCTCTTTTCACACGGACTGCTGACACATGAATATTCATTATTTTGCTGCTCAAGCAAACTTTTCATGGGCTTGGGACTTGCTTGTTTGTTTTTAGGTAAAATTGAATGTCCTTTTCCCAATTTTGATCTAATTCTTAGTTTCCTTGCAGAAAAACCTCACAGGTTTAATAATAACAAAGAAGATTAAAACCTCATGCAAAGCAGTTTAAGCAATTATTTGAAGCTGCACTCTGAAAACCAGATTTCCCCCTCCCCCTCCTATTACATAAGGTACATATTCCCCTGCTTTACAGACCTAGAAAGCTTTCCAAACTCCTATTACCAGAGATTAATAAACTGATCACCTCTTCCTTTAGGATCACCAGGGATATTTAATTCCATTTTAAAGGGTTATAGTTGAAAATGCCATTTATCTGCTATGCTAAACTTCTCCACTAAAGCCACTGAGTTTAGGTGAGCTCTGCTGCCATGTCAGCAACTTGGAATTTCAATTTACACGATCAGTAAATTGAGATTAAAAATCTGAATCAGTTGAGAGATATTGTTCTCTGGAAGTGCTTATTGGCAGTTAGTTGGGAGTGCAATGCCAGGACTTTTAGACTATAAACTCTGTATCTTCTGGGTTGTTTCTACAAGACTCACCACACTGATCCAGTTTTGAACCTACATTCAGCTTCAGCCAAAGTCTTTTTGTCCTTAATAAGACTAAAATCTTTTCTTAAAACCAGTGAATGTCTCACAATTGCAGTGGGACTAGCACAGGCTTTACCCTGATTCTTACCTTGGAAATCAGGGCTCCATGAAGAGCAGTCCCACTGCAATAATGCAACTACAACTAGCAATAGTCGTGTATCTCTTCCTAAGCCTCAGAAAAATAATTCATTTTGCAACACTAACACTGATTATTTGCTACAACACAGTAAAAACAGCTAAAATGTTTCTCATGTAGAACATTTGTGATATTCCACACTGCACTTCTTCTGCTGACAGCAAGCAGGAACAGAGACATGCAGTGATGTGGCAGATTATGAGATGTTAGCCTACTTCCTTATTTTCAGTCACTACTTTAAAATTATTAGAACACCTTGAAGACTAAGGTAAGCCTGCTGAGATGAAAAATTCATGAAAATGCAAGTTATTATAACAAGATAAACAAAGATTTTTATAAAGCGCTGATCTATTACGACAGTTTCAATTTCCTTCCTGTCTGAAAGGAACCGCATTAAATCTTCAACCTCAACAAAAAAAACCAAAGCAAATCCAAACTCAAGACAAGGTGCCTCAATCTACTTCTGTGAACTTTTCTTAGTCACGGATCTTTGAACAACTACAACAATATCTGTCCACACTCCAGAACAATTATTTTTCATGATCTAGAAGAGTCTGTTTTTTCACAGCAAGGTTCTCTACTTCCTGGGGAGGCAGCAGTACTGTGATGCACAACCATGGCTTACTTTAGAGAAAGAGGAAAGACATCTTAGATATTCTGAGGTTTTTAATGGGAACTTTAAGTTTTTAAGACCTGGAGAAAGAAGTACAGAAGTGTAAAGGAAACTTTATAAAACTGCAGTCAATCCAGAAAAATCTCAAGGTGGTTTTTACTTGAGCTCATTTGACATCATGACAAGTGACTTTACAAGGCTGCCTGTTTTTATAAGCTGAAGGCAAAACTACTGTCTTCTCAAGTGCAATTCTCTCACTGAATGCATATAATTAGGAACAAAGCCTTTAAGACTTCAAATGGATTAGGTCATGATGACTTCCATGAACAAAGGCTGGCAGCTGGCAGGACCAGGCTGTGTGAACTGCTGAGGAACTACAGCAGGCATAGGAATGAACCCATGTGTGACCCCACAGGCCTGTCCTCAATCAGAAACTGAGGAACTTCATTCCAATGTACCTTTTTCATTTCATTTTCTAGGTTTTCCTCCTCCTGGCCTTCAGACAGTCGCCTCCTTAACTCTGCAATTTCCCGCTCCATGTTTTCTCGGTACTGGCTCCACTGAGCTCGCTCTTGCTCCATCCTGTGGTGATACTGGAGCTCATAGTCACGAACAGTCTCTAGAAAACAGCATTTTCAAAACTTATTTTCAATGTAAGTCAAAGAACAGAGCTTTAGGAACTCCATCTACAACTACTCAATGATTTACTATAATTAATGAAAACTAGGACAACAGTGAACTCTCCCTTCCCTGCCCCAAAACCCAAATACATAAGTAAAAAATCCAAAGGAACTGAATTTCAATTAGTACCATCAACAGAACAGAGAAACAATCCTCAAAAACTGTGCAACTCCTAATTTCAAGGTAATGCACATGACTAATACCCTATTTAGCAGTACATTTTGTACCTCCAAGTATATCATCCAAACAAATGACCAAAACCTTAAAAAGGTACTCCAAAAGGCAAAGAAATTCAAACTTCTCACATAGCTTCCATTTCCCCAGGATTCACACTAACCCTCTCAGGTAAGGAGCTGTCTGTTTACACAGCAGCAGCAGCTGGCACAGCTGAGCCTTAATCTAGGTTCATGTATCTGTGTAGATCATGAATAAACAGACATTTGTGTACTCAGTATACATTAAGGTTTGTCTGCTCTGGGTGAAAAGCACAATGAGGTGATGGAAAAACTGCCCACAGCCAACAGGCTCTAGGCTCAGGATAGTGTGATCCTGTTTGTGAACCTTTAAGAAAACAGACATTTGTGGCAATAGTCTGTTCCCAGTTCATATCCTTTTGTTCATTCACTTTGTCTCAGAAATGTCAACAGCTGTAGAACGTGCAAATATAGCAAGGAATAGATCAGAACTATCAAGAAAAAAACATCCAGAGAGAGCAGCATGTACAGTCACTACCCTGGGGGAAGGCCCATGTGAATACTGGAGGGACATCTGACTATGTGAGAGCAGAACTGTGTTCACACAGAAGGAAAAAAGAGAATCATGCTGGCAGATTAAAGCTGTTTTCAGATTCGTCAAATTATAGGCATCATACTTATCTTCATGAAAGGATAAAGTGCCACATTCATAGTCTCTCAAAAATGTTTTGAATATACATGAGGTTCCCATGGCTATGAATTCTAAATTCTGTCCTCAAGTTGACAATAAAAAACCCATCAAGCTCCTTTTCACAGCTTTGGGAACTACACTTCATCCAGCCCTTCTGCAGCTTTCCCAAGCCATAACAATTATCCATATTCGAGGAAGAGCAGGCACAAATCCCTAAAGACATCAGGGTGGCTGATCTCAGCAGCTTGCCTGGTTGTTACCTTTCATGATGGCCTGGAGAGAAGCCACTTCTTCTTGCCACTGCCTCTTGACCTCGTCGATGGCCTCCTGCTTGGTGGTCTCTGACACTGTGGCTATGGCCTTGATGTTCTCCATTTCCGCGTGGGCTTCCATCAGCTGGGTCCGCAGCTGGCCCAGGTCATCCTGGGCCGCCTGCAGCACTGCATTCTGTCTTTTCAGGTCCTCTGAAAGGAGGATTATATACATTTAGCTTGATTAATGAGTTCAATCTGAAGTGTAGCCCCAGTTGCTATGGCAAAGAACAGAAGGGACTGAAGGAAGCACTGGTATTAAAACGTCTACCTGAAACGAATGAACAAATGTTGGCAGGTATCTTCAGGGAATGCTATTTCTTGACTTTGCTTGCCCTTGCCTTTTATTAAAGGAGCATCTTATGGATGCAGACACAAAGCAGACACTAGATATAACTAGGATCAATATAGCTGACAAAAGTGAACTGTGCTTTTCAACAGTTTTTATTATTTAACTCATTCTGGTAATGAATCTGGAAAAGGCACAAACAGTTTTTCTCCCATTTCTGGGACCAACTTGGTTCTCAATTTGGATGGAACACTTCGTATTTCTTGAATAGAAACACTCTGTGACCCCTTTGGAGAGCCCACATAAGAAAAATATGCAGCCTAATTTGCTCCTTACCAAATACTTTGGTAAAACTGAGTTTCTACTAAGAAAAAGGATACATTCAATGGAACACCCACTTCTTCTCTAATTATTGCAACTATAAACAGAAATTAAACTAATTTCATATTATCCTCTTGAGTGCTTGGCTAATCTGAAACAAACAGCTCTGGAAGACATATATAATTAATTCCAAAAGTACTAACACAAAATATGTGTTTTATGCCCACATAGCCTGCTTCAATGGCAATCACATTTAGCAGAAACATCTGGCCAGTACACAACCAGCACCAAGCTATCTCCATGTATTTCCCTCAGGGCCAAAAAGCTGAATTAATCCTAGTGCTCTCACTCCTGATAGAAAATATAGAACCCAGAGCTAATCAAGTACTTTAAAGGACATTAATCCTTGTGTAAAAAAACCAAGACTCTGAAGCATTAATATTCCTAGTTTTCAAGTGACAGTATTGAAGATGGGTCCCAACAGCCCCAATGTACATTTAGGAAATGGTCTTGGAGACAGGGAGGGAGAAAAAATTTTGATGGGGGAGAAAGAAAAGTAATTGCTTGCATATTCTCCTCTGTTGTCCTTTCACTTCAGTATCTGTGAAAGTTGGGGTGTTTTTCTCTTCCCCTATCACAATTTATTTTATATTTTTTAACTGTACCAAAATGGGAGAATAATTGCTGATCCCATCAGTAGTGTCATGTATCTTAAATTTCCTTTTATCCAGCCTTAGAAACACAAGTAAATAGGCTTGCTGTATGATCTGATCTTCATTATGCCTGTTGTATTTCTGCTCTCATAAGCTTATACAGCAGCTGCAGTCTTAATGCATTATGTTTTGGCTCTGCTTTCATATGTTAAAGACAGAAAAATCATCAGAATTAGATAAATCAATCTGTCTCTCAGAACAGCTATCTCTACTCTCCGATACTTCATCGGATATTTGAGCTCATACAATTTAAATTTTCCTTTAAATTGTGTTATTGAAATAGATGCCCTTGGCTGGCATTAAAACTTTTATAACGTTTGCCTGCTTACAGCCTACCTCCAATGGAAATTTAAGACAAATAAATGCTATATAAAAAAAAGTACAGAGTACACAGAGTACAGCACAGCATCCAGGATATATCTTTCCATTTACCAGATCAGCTCCTGCCCAGAGAGCACACCTGAATTCAGGAAGTTAGTATTAAAACTCACTGGTGGTGTTTTTGCATGGACATCAAGTTGCTCTGGCTCCTATCTATGAGGCTAATCTTTAAATTTAATTCTAAAATTCATTCTAGGATGCTCAATAGTTACCTATTGAATCTCTTGCATACTTACTATAACTGTTTAAAAGACTAAATAATACGGGGATTATTTGAAGATGAGGTTCAATAAACTTTAGAATAATTCAGAGAATTGAGGACTTACCTTCCTTAGCCAGGTATAACTCCTTAAATTTTGCTCTCTTTTGATTAAATTCTTGCTCAAGTTGCTGCTTTGTGCGCAGAAATTCTGCATTGACCTTTTCCAATTCTGCTACCCGTTGTAGAAGAGCATCTAAAAATAAAGCAGAAGATAAGGTACGTCACTAACAGTTATCCAGACATCCCATTCTGCAAGGCTGAGGTTTGGGGCTTACTCTTTTTAAAATATCTTTACTCATTAGCTCTGCTGTTGCCTCATGATAATGAGGAAAACTAGCCAGTCCTTTAAGGAACAAAGGAATGTAGGTTTTCTTAAGACTGCAACACCAAATTCTAATGAAACATCTCTGGGGAACTAGAGGCAAAGTGGCAGGGAGTTCTGCAGAAAACAATTTTCAAAACAAAACCACAATTTGGTATATATGACTAAGGAAGAAATAGAAATAATTCTGGTGATGGTTTTCTTCCCTGGGAAGTGTGTGAGGGCTGAGCAATAAAGCACCAAGTGCTCAAAGGCTGAGGTCAAATAAAACAAAGTGACAGCAGCTCAGCCAACAGCTATGAAAGGGCAAAGTGCAGGAAGGAAACCCTGTAAGCTAAAAATTAGGTACCATTATCAATCCAGTCTTCAGTTCTGCATGTTCAGCAAAAGATGAACCAGATTACACCTGGAGAAGTTTGCCAGAGGATGACCACAATCTACAGAGAACTACCTAATTGTAAGATCAAACTGTCCTCATTTCCAGCAGGTACATACATACATAGATGCACATACATCACTCTGTTTTCCAGAATTTACCACATCAGCCCTTCATCTGGTGGTACAACCAAAGAAGGAAGAGTAGAAAGTCTACAAAGATTGTTATAACGTGCTTATTATTGAAAAAAACTCCACGATACCACTGTATGATGCTTTAAAGACCCCATACAACCACCAACCTATCTGTATGTACAATATCCACTTCTTTGCACCTCAAGTTCTGCTGTAGCTGGCAGTTTCAACTTGCACACCTCAGAATTCAAATACAAAACAGAAAGAAAACACTGGTGAGCCAGAACAAAATACATCTCCCTGCTGCAATGCACTGGGGAAAAAAATGTTTCTCTACAAGAGTCTCTGTGTGTTCTGCAGAAGCATTTTGTGGGCATGTTCCAACTCTGCCGTGCAAACTGAATCACTTCAGTTATAGCCTCTATATAGCACAGACTAGATATACAAAATATTGATCCATCAGAGGCGTTTGTGCATCCCATCCAACACTTCCCACACAATCAAGCAGTGCAAATACAAACCAAAGGCTACACAACTTCAGCATCAAACATTTAGACTCACAAACAGCTGGAATCAGCTCTACAGCTCACAGGTAAAATTCTGGATGGGCAATGCCATTGAGATGGGGCCAGTTATTTTTGGTACCAGATGACGTACAGTAAGAGCAGACACACTAAATAATTAAACAAAAGGATCTTCTAAGAGCACAGGTATGTTTTACTCATTGCTGGTTATAAGAGTTTATATATTACAAAATACAGCACCTAATCTCTTCAGTTCTGTACTGAATAAAAGATAAATGCAAATATAAGACTGATGAAATTTTAACGTGGCTTTTTAAAAAAATCCTAATTTTTTTTTTATCACCTGAAATACAAACACATAGGTTTTTCTGGCCAGCAACTCCTATGTGGATAGTTCAAAGCCAACTGCGCAGGAGTGTTCTCCAGAAAATGAAAGGAATCTGCAGCAAAGACACACTGAGAGCAAAGCTTCAAGTGAGTTCAGAGAGTGTCTGGATCAAAACCAGGGATGAAACAGCACATGTGGAACCAGGTCTGGGTAAGAAAAATGCTTCCCAAGGTTAAAGGGTTTCCTTTGATCTCCTGCTGAAGTTTTGCAAAGGGAAAGGGTTTGCTTGTGTTTCCACTGCCCCAGTCCTGTGCAGGGCGATGCAGAGCCGGCAGCCACCGCGCCACCTCCTGCTCCACACCCCATGAACAGCTGTGCTGGCCCTGAGGAGCTGGGTTTGAGCTCAGTTCAGGTCCTGAAGGGAAACTCCTGCAGGCACTAGAGCCTAAGGGAGCTGTGTGCTAGGGGGAGGTGGCTGTACTGTCCAGGTCCAGTCAGGCAGCTCTGCATCCACAGGTACCGCCCTGGAGCCTCAAGCACACATTCCAAATGAACAAGGGGGAATCTGGATATCATTCACCTTGCACACATTCTTTTGAAGACCACACAAAAACTGTTCAATTCCACAGTTAGTAATCCTGAAAGTTAAACCAACTGTCGACTGAACTCTCCTGCCCCCAAGATGACTTGAGCATTCCTTGTTTACTTAATTCCCTTTCCATCTTCCTTCAGCAGAGAGACAGCAGCAACTGTGCTGCTGCTCGCATCAGAAAATGCAAAGCAACTAAGCTGTATTTCTTCTGAAGGTGTGAGTCGCTTCTGCTAAGGATGGAAGGGCAAGAGGACACCCCAAGAGCAGAATGTTCAAGTGCTCTAAGCTGGAGAAACAAAAGACTTATCCTTTTCAAATCCTCCTGCCCAAACAGAAAGAGGGAGGGCAGAGTCACCAAGAAGGAAATGAAATTTAAATATTTACATTTTTACAGTACTCCCCCCTCTCTGCAGCCTGGCAGTTAGGTCTAAAAAGTAATAGATAAATAACTAAATAATCAAAGGCCTCCACAACTCAGCTCTGGCAGCTGTCAGGGCCAGCTGCAGGCATTCTAAAAAAGAAAAAGTTTAAGATCTCAACTGCAGGTCATCCATCACTGCAACTGTGCATTAACATTGTTCTTTCGATTCTATATTAAGTTTAAAGTGGTTTTACCACCTGTGCTACATATGCAGCTCAGAACAGATCTCAGCACATCCCCACTGCAGTAAGACAAGGCACAAACTCAAGGACAATAGGCTATATAGGTCAACATCAACCCCCTCAAATACACCTGCATAAGAAGTAAAAGCAAAAGAAAGTTTATTTTTCTGAGACACTCTAACAGCTACCACCTTTCTGCTAAGTGACTAAGTTTACAAATTAATTATTTTCTTCCTCAGAGGTACAATTTGTACAAAAGCCATACAGACACTTCCCAAAATGCAAGTGTGATCCCAAGCCCAGACTGCCAGGCACAGGTACCCTCGGGCCACATGGCACAGATTAAAGTCCACCTGGAAATGCACTGGAGTCAATGGCAGGAAATGGACTCATTCATAGATTTCCAATTAGGCCTTTGTCATTTATCACTTAATTTTCACTCTGAATTTAGGTCCGACTCACCCCAAGCCCAGAGTTGAAAAAGAAAACTTAGTTGCCATCACAGGCTATAATTTAAAGGCAGCCCCAAAAGCAAGCTGTTCATTTTGCAGAGTGGTTCCCATGCTCCAGTGGCAGCACGGCTGTTGAAGGAGGATGAAGGGAGAGCGAACACAGCCGGGAGATGGGCAGTGCCCGACTGAAATGGGATCCGCTGTCACACAGCGGCGACACAGCACGGAACACTCTGTATCCCCTCACAGCACTAGTGAGATCTCCAATCCCTATTTAGGGCCTTAAGTCACCCAGAAACAAACAAAATCCCAAAAGACCTATTTTTTAACTTTGGAAATAGCACTGAGAAAACTTTAAATTAAAATTGGTATGCCAAACTAAAAAAAAATACAAACAAGAAATCCTTTTGACCAACAATTTAAAACAGCTTTTTTTTTCACAGATTATTAGGCCAAATAGAGTGCAGATGACAGAGTTACAGATGGCAATTAAATCACTAGCTTAATTTCTAGCTAGCAACACAGATTTTGCAGACACACTCCAGGTGAGACAAAGGGATCCCCATCTCCTGTGGAGCACTGACATTACAGCAAAGCACAGTGAATGTCATCATGTGCCCTAACTAGGGAGAACTCAAAATAAGGGCAGCAAAATCCATTTCAGAGCAGACTCATCTATTTACAGGAGAACCATGAAACTGCTGCAATACGTGAAGAGAAACTTCAGAGAAAAAAAGATACAGCTTTCTCTTAACCCACTGTACAGCAAAATTCCAATTCCAGGAAAACACAGGAACAAACACACATTTCTTATTGACTAGTTATTTATATGCTGTTCCACAGAGCAGCTCCAAAAAGGATTAAATTTTATGTATGACAGTTTCCAGTTACACAAACATGTAGCGATCATTCCAGAACTAAGACAGACAAAGCTGATTATCAATAAGACTATTTTTGAGTACCAGTTCTATTTATAAAATTAATGCTATAGAGCTTTCTGCTTGATATTTAAAGAGTCAAACATGACATCAAGAGTTCGGTCCAACATAGCTGAAATACAAAAACAGAGCAGAAAAGAACCTACATGTACAATGAACTTTTTGGAGACAAAAAAATATATAGCTTCTGTCATTTTCTACCTTTCTTTTGCTGTCATGATTGCTTGAGAAGTATGGAAAAGTACTTATTTCTATGAGTTCCTACTATGACTTTCTACTATTTGCTATGAGTACTAACTTCAGAATATCATGACATCATATTGGAGCCACAATTATGCTACTCCATAAACTTTTAATCTAAGTCTGCCACCAGACCATTCATGTAGACTGCAAAAAGCTTTTTTTTACTTTACTCAAACAGGATTTGATGAAAAAAGAACAACCAACCCCTCCACTCTTACAATACACTCCAGCTGCTTGCATGAGGCACTCAGAAGCATAGGAACAGATTAAGGTTCTTTGAAGAAATATGTTAAACAGAAGCAATTCCTGACTTATAAAATGAGGCTGCTTTATTTTCAAGAAACAACATTTGTCCTTACACACAGATATCCAGCAGCAGCAGATCAAACTAGAGGAAAAAAAAAACCAAACCAAAACACAGGAACAAAATAATTACCTGCTTTTCTCAAACTTGCAAGTATCAAGCATTTTATTTACTGGGCCAAATGGCTCAAGCTCACTGGTCACACATTTTCTTTGTTTTATGTGAGGACAGAGAATGACCCCTGACTTCTCACTTGCCACCTTCTTTTTCAGAGTGGCACTAAACGCCTCCGCCTGTCACAGCTCCCTTTTTAGAGTGTTTTGCTGTGTGTGGTGAGAAGAATCAACCCCAGAAAGGGGAAAACCAGGGGGTTCTGC